GGGGCAGGCGGACAGAGGCCGACAGAAAACAAAAAACAAAAAATCAGAAATGGTTCTGTGTCCTGCTTGAACGGAGGCCTCTGCAGCCCAGCCTCTGTGTTGCTACTGTGCTGGCTTTTTTTTTCTTCTGCCCTGCCACACACTGAAGCCTCCTTGTCTGCTTCACTGACACATAGAAGAGACCTTCTCTGTCTGCACATCAGCCACCATCCAGCCCTACCCCCACCCAGCTTGCCCCTCTGTACAGAAACTTGGCACATCCAGGGAGCAGCTGCAGCGGGGGCTTCCAATGCTCCGGCTCCAGAGACACGCCTCCGGCCCCGCAGCCATCGCAGGAGGCAGTGACCGTTGTGTGTTTGTTGACGTGTGTGTGTGTGTGTGCGTCACTGTAACCGCGGCCCAGGACGGCCTGTTCATCAAATTGATAAACGTGAGCCGTGTTAGAGTCGTGCCGTCTACTGCCGTCTTTGAGCCGTGGATTTCGAGCCACGTGACTCATCATTAGCAGCATCAACTGCACTGATGAAACTGACTGATGTTTGTGTTTGAAATTTCCCAAGTGGAACTGAGTCAAAGGGGAGGTTACCCCCCCACACACACACACCCCCGAGCCCCCCCACCTCCCCCACTGTCTCTCCACATTAGCCAGAAAAGGTGTGCTCTCGCCTGCGAGGAAGAGCGACCCGCGCTTTCCCACCGGGAGCTTGGCTTCCTTTCTGCCGTGGCCGTGTCACGTCACACACACACACACACACCTCCAGGAGGTTTTCAGCTCAGCGCTCTTTGGACGACGGCTGAGCAGATCAGTCTGTCCGACTGAAAATACAGTTCACGCCTCACGGACCACAGCCACTCCTCGTTGATCAGTGACTGATGCAGAGCTTTTACAAAGACTACAATGTAGATTATTTGGTTCTTTTGCCCCCTCCTCTGCCCCCCTCCTCTGCCCCCCTCCTCCTCCTCCCTGTGGCGCTCTGGCCCAAAGGCAACGTCTCTGTCATTGGTTTGGAACCCCAGGGTTCACCTCCTGGGTGAGATCGGATCCCGCTTAGGGCGGTTGTCTCCTTCCAGTGGACTCACCTCCTGCAGGAATGTTCGGGGGGGGGGGTGCGGGGAGGTGATTTGGGTGAGGGTCATGGAGACTGCTGCCCCCGCGACCCGGTAACGGATAAGCCCTTCACCAACAACACAACAGCCCCTCAATAACAACTAACTGTACAGAAGAATCTCAACTTCTCAAAGAGCCAATCCTAACAGACATCAGGAGAGGGAGGGGGGGCGGGGTGGGGGGGGTGACACCCTGAGCAGTGGGTCAGTCCATCACTGACAAAGAACCATGAACAGACCCGTGGTCACAACACAGACTGTAGGACGCTGTAACACAGAGGGAGAAGATATACAAACTCCATGTACGTAGAACATCAGTTAACACCCGTTGGATTGGACCCCCGATGTTCCGCTGTAAGGCAAGAGCACTAACCACTCCTCCACCAACCCAACAACCAGTCAATCTGTGCCAAGAGCAACACATTTAAAAGTTGATGCTTTAGTGACAAACACTGAGCAAGAATTGATATCAAATAATGGCAAATAATAAACAACAGCGCCCCGTGTGGAAGTTTGATGTTAGACATCAAACAACAACAGTTTGAACGCAGCTGAGAGAACGATTCTTCTGAATTCCTCTAAAACAGACATGAACCGATTGTTTTTCTTGACCATAATTGGCTTTTCCTCGATTAAGACAAACGCACGTGAACAGTTTACGTCGCTGTTTAGAACGAACACTGAGGGGGAAAAGAAAAGACCTTTGACCTTTGTTGACTCCCGTTGGCCTCCCACTGTGTACATCGAGCAGTAAAATCAATTTGGCTGACGTGAGTGAGTAGAACCACAGAACAACGGTGGCTGAATGGGAGTACTGTGTAACAAAAATAAGGAGCCAGGAGCCACTTTCTGTACGTATAACTGTTTTAACATGTTTGTTTTTTCTGGCATAAATTCCAATTTAATTTACTTCTTAGTGGATTTACTGAAGGTATTTTGAAATGAGTAAATATAAAATATAACTATATATAAGTCAAAATACAGAAGGTAACAATGGCCACAATTACAACGCAGCAGCACAGACAACGCAGAAAACAAACAAGATCATTAATTTGTAATAAGAACATTAGGATTTTTAACGAAACGCTGAACCATAAAGTTACCTCACATTTAACCGACATGAAAAAGTTCATTTCCGAACACATCAACCTGCAAACTCAACTAATCCTGAAAGAAAAGCTGCAACGGATTCCCTCTGTAACCACTAGAGGGAGTCTACGTACAACCAGTGTTACACGTACCCCGGCTTGAGAACCACTGACTTAATACATTTTAATCTTCAGTCCATACTATTTATGATGAGTGATTATTAAATCAACGAAAGAAAATACGACAGAACAGGTGTCAGTTCTACCTCCTGATGTTTCTGTTCATGAACTCTGTTGGTTCACAGGAACAATCACACTGTCCCAGCAGGTCAGGTGGGTGGGGGTGGGGGCAGAGGTGGGGGAGGAGTTACCCCCCCCCCCCCGGACGCCAATTTAAAATGGGGGGTGGCTCCTGGTTGCCTCCGTGTTCGTCACGCAGGACCAACAGAACAATGATGAGCGTGCACGGGCCGGGGTTTAAAACCGGCAACCTCGGTGTCATAGTGTCACACTGTGGATCCGCGCGCGCGCGCGCGCGCACACAGCGACATGTGCAGCTGAAAGTCTGAGCACCGACTTCGGGCGTGTGTGTCAGGGACA